CGAGCTTGCCGGAGAACAAAGGTTTGCTTCAACGGTGGCAAAGAGGTTAGAGAGTTTGGTAAGTTGGCGACTTCTGCATTTAAACACACACACACACACACACCCCCCCCCCCCCCCCCCCCCCACTAACTCTGAGGTTCCCATGTCTAAAACTATGTTCTGTATGAATCAAGAACTGACAGATACTTGCAACTTGTTCAACGAGACAGCCACCAATAGCTTGTGTGGTTTTTTGTTTCATTCTGAATGGGATTGAGTATACAGGGAGACTATGCTGGGGGGGGGGGGGGGGGGGGGGGGGGTGTAGTTGTAGGGGCTGGTTAGGACTGGTGATCAGGTAAACTCTTTGTTTTAATTTTCACAACACCTGGAAAAAATTGGGGGTGTTGGCACTAAAACACAGCGATCTACTTGCTGTCTCCTCAGTTTTTGATCTCCTCTTTCCCCATCTTGTCTGAGTGACTTACGTCTTATTCTCTATTACTCCGCCATTTGGGATCTTTCATTGTCTTCTGCCTCACTGTGTTACGTCATTTGTCGTTGATGATTGTGTGAAGCTGAATAAGTCTGCTTCTCGTTTAGATATTTTACAATACAGGGATACCTTAACAACACCTCAAGACAAACAGGAATTTGAGTATTTGGGAGCGATTTTCACATCCGATTGAAAACTGGATAGAGAAGTTAGCTCAAGATGTGCCAAAGCTAATCAAGTAATGTGGCAACTATCCCCTTGTTGACACACAAGCAGATACCCCAAACCCAGAGTACTAAAGTGAATCTTATTAGAACTATTTTTTGGCTATCACTATGCTATCAGTGCCAAACGTCGACACTTACATCCTCCAGTGAAGGTTAAATTGTGACAGCAGATGAAATGCCTCAGAAGAGTTGCAGGAGTTTCAAGGAAAGACAGACTACGAAATCATGAAATCAGAGGAATGCTAGGAATAAAGCAAGTCTTACAAGTCATCAAAGAACAACAAATGGAGTGAGTGGTCTGGACACTAACAAAAATGCCCTGGTAGTATCTGCCACAGCGAGCGAGACTAAAATGTTACAATGGGTATAGAGCGAGCGGAAGACCAGAAAAGATGGAGTGGTGGTATTAAGAACAACCTTACAGAAATGAACATCAGTCTTAGTAGTGCTCTTGACAGAGCTCATCAACGAATGTTACATCTCCCCCCAACACTTTGATGAGTTACTAGGTGGAAGAGAAGAAGACAATACTGGGAGGTGAAAATTGTAAGCATAAATTATGTCTAGCAGGGCGGAAGCTGCATGTTATAGCTAAATAATAGAAGAGAAAGCTGTATGTTGCTGATTGTATGAGTATATCGATAATTTGTGTCTGTCTCAGGGAGCCTTAACTCATGGAGATCGACGAGCCACAGAAACCAGAGATTTGAGCCGTTTCAACATTGACAACAAGGTGAGAATCTTCCCTATTTTATCATTGTGAAGTGAGACTGCAGTTTTCCCCTTTCCCATGTCTCTGTCAGATAAAGAATCTTGTAAAGACAGAGACATAGTATCACATTGATCCCAAGAGCTAAGCTGATAGTAACATTCCATAGGCAGGGTCACTGAAAACCTGTATCTCACCGGGTAGAGACCATAGGCATGGTCACTCAAAGCCCGTATCTCCCTGGGTAGAGACAAGACCATAGGCATGGTCACTCAAAGCCTGTATCTCCCTGGGTAGAGACAAGACCATAGGCATGGTCACTCAAAGCCTGTATCTCCCTGGGTAGAGACAAGACCATAGGCATGGCATGGTCACTCAAAACCTGTATCTCACTGGGTAGAGACAAGACCATAGGCATGGCATGGTCACTCAAAACCTGTATCTCACTGGGTAGAGACAAGATCATAGGCATGGCATGGTCACTCAAAACCTGTATCTTACTGGGTAGAGACAAGACCATAGGCATGGTCACTCAAAGCCTGTATCTCCCTGGGTAGAGACAAGACCATAGGCATGGCATGGTCACTCAAAACCTGTATCTCACTGGGTAGAGACAAGACCATAGCCATAGGCAGGGTCACTCAAAACCTGTATCTCACTGGGTAGAGACAAGATAATAGGCATGGCATGGTCACTCAAAACCTGTATCTTACTGGGTAGAGACAAGACCATAGGCATGGTCACTCAAAACCTGTATCTTACTGGGTAGAGACAAGACCATAGGCATGGCATGGTCACTCAAAACCTGTATCTCACTGGGTAGAGACAAGACCATAGGCATGGCATGGTCACTCAAAACCTGTATCTTACTGGGTAAAGACAAGATCATAGGCATGGCATGGTCACTCAAAACCTGTATCTTACTGGGTAGAGACAAGACCATAGGCATGGCATAGTCACTCAAAACCTGTATCTCACTGGCTAGAGACAAGACCATAGGCATGGCATGGTCACTCAAAACCTGTATCTCACTGGCTAGAGACAATACCATAGGCATGGTCACTCAAAACCTGTATCTTACTGGGTAGAGACAAGACCATAGGCATGGCATGGTCACTCAAAACCTGTATCTTACTGGGTAGAGACAAGACCATAGGCATGGTCACTCAAAACCTGTATCTTACTGGGTAGAGACAAGACCATAGGCATGGCATGGTCACTCAAAACCTGTATCTTACTGGGTAGAGACAAGACCATAGGCATGGCATGGTCACTCAAAACCTGTATCTCACTGGCTAGAGACAAGACCATAGGCATGGCATGGTCACTCAAAACCTGTGTCTCACTGGCTAGAGACAAGACCATAGGCATGGCATGGTCACTCAAAACCTGTATCTCACTGGGTAGAGACAAGACCATAGGCATGGCATGGTCACTCAAAACCTGTATCTCACTGGCTAGAGACAAGACCATAGGCATGGCATGGTCACTCAAAACCTGTATCTCACTGGCTAGAGACAAGACCATAGGCATGGCATGGTCACTCAAAACCTGTATCTTACTGGGTAGAGACAAGACCATAGGCATGGCATGGTCACTCAAAACCTGTATCTCACTGGGTAGAGACAAGATCATAGGCATGGCATGGTCACTCAAAACCTGTATCTTACTGGGTAGAGACAAGACCATAGGCATGGCATGGTCACTCAAAACCTGTATCTTACTGGGTAGAGACAAGACCATAGGCATGGCATGGTCACTCAAAACCTGTATCTCACTGGGTAGAAACAAGACCATAGGCATGGCATGGTCACTCAAAACCTGTATCTTACTGGGTAGAGACAAGACCATAGGCATGGCATGGTCACTCAAAGCCTATATCTCACTGGGTAGAGACAAGATCATAGGCATGGCATGGTCACTCAAAACCTGTATCTTACTGGGTAGAGACAAGACCATAGGCATGGTCACTCAAAGCCTATATCTTACTGGGTAGAGACAAGATCATAGGCATGGTCACTCAAAGCCTATATCTTACTGGGTAGAGACAAGACCATAGGCATGGTCACTCAAAACCTGTATCTTACTGGGTAGAGACAAGATCATAGGCATGGTCACTCAAAGCCTATATCTTACTGGGTAGAGACAAGATCATAGGCATGGTCACTCAAAACCTATATCTTACTGGGTAGAGACAAGACCATAGGCATGGTCACTCAAAACCTATATCTTACTGGGTAGAGACAAGACCATAGGCATGGTCACTCAAAACCTGTATCTTACTGGGTAGAGACAAGACTAGATGAGGCCCACACAGTTGATACATTGTTTACTGTTAAGAAAGCATAACACAATTATCCAAGGGTGCATTTTGATTAGTTGACGGGAAGGCCCATATGCCTAAAAACTATTGATGACCCAGATGCAAAAGAACCATCAGTTGATTGTTGAACCCTAAGATATTCTTGTCTGCAATTTAAACATTTTCAATCATTAAATTACAGAGATTTTAAATTTTAGAATTATGCTCCTTTCAGTCGCTGTGTTTGTGTGTTAAAAAAATATATAGTATAGATGGAATAATAGCCTGACAAAAACTAGGGGAGGTAAACCTGAAAGAATGTTATGTTAAAATCTGATGTACTGAACCACAAGGCATTGTAATTGCTGTGTCCTGAGTTTGTAGAAAGCGGAATGAGGGTTACCCCATGAAGCCCTGACTAGTTATAATGGTAGAAATGCCATCTTGAAGGGGGCCACTCAGCTCTTTTGTTGATCCAGGATGCACAGAGAGGGTCGGAGCTATTGACTGTCAGGACACTCAACAAACCTTATTGACACCACAAAACTTGATCAGAGAAGGTCAGAAATGACTGGCAAGGCATTCAACAAGCAGTAGTGACACCACAAAGCTGTGACCAGAGAAGGTCGGAGATATTGACCAGAGAGCCAGGACATTCAACTAACTACTGAAACCACAAAGCTGTTGGTCAGAGAGGGCTAGAGATAGCCAAGTCATTAAACAAACTAGTGAAATCACAAAGGACTTCTACACAAAACTTGTTCCCCTAACATTCCTTTACTGTACAACTGTTGCTTCCCAGGCCAGTTCTGTTTATTGATGGGGGTGTAATGTTTCTCTGCTGTACATTGTTTTGTGCTTGTTACATCTGTACTGTAAGTGTCCTCAAAGCCTTCTGTATAAACCAGTACACTTAGGAGGCTGCCGCACAAGACTGGACTATATGCTGAACATCTGTCCGAAGTGATGCAGCATTCAGAGAAAGGGCAGCCGAACAGCAAAGACGGGCTAAAAAGACCTGTAAAGCAGGTCCTTTATCACCGACACTGTTCCCTGCCCTCATTGTTTTAGATCCTTCCAGGCCTTTACTGGGCTCTCATCTCTGGACTCAGAATCAACCACAGTTTCAGGATGGATGAAAGAAAGAGTTGTCCATATCACTTGTTATGGACAAACAGTGATACTGTAGTTGTTACTGCTGTACTTTACATTCGTTTTATATATCTTTTACCTGACTCAAGTTGGTGTTCTGTTCCACAGTATGGTCGCGTGGCTCTAGAAGTAGTCATGAAGTCAGTCCTTGACATCCCACATGAGATCCCTCACGTCCCCCCGCCGAAGACCTACCAGGGAGATTTCTTTAAAGGTATGACACGAGTTTGATCTGAAAAGCATTTTTGGCTTATTTGTATGTCATTTCTGACTTTTGAGGTGATTCTTTGGCCCCTGTGTGGGCTCCAGGGCTCCATTGTGAGGGAAAGAAGAGTAGACCCACTGCCTCCCCATCAAGCATGTCCTAGAAGTCGATCGATTGGGGGCAAACTTTAAAGTCATAGTTTGCTTGCCTGAGAGGTGAGAAACCAAGAGGCTGCGTACAAATAAGCCATATCTGTCAAATGGATGTGCACACAACACTCAGATTCTGGCACCAAAGTCCGGAAGTAGATAAGCAACCAGAACTTTACCAGAGTTTACATCCGGTGAACAAAAAGATTATTCACTGCGGCATAGGATTGCAGCACTTGATTCTCCATATGGTTTGTACGAGGGGAAGTCAATAAGTAAGTCACAAATGGTTATGGGAAGGCAGAAAAATGTAGTTGGTGGTTTGTAAAGGTGTCGTTAAGTGACAGCCACATCAAATGTTTTCATTCGTTAGGTGGCGCTAGGTGTTGTGCGCGCATTTGCAACAAAGTAACAAAATGGCGACTGTACTTACAGAGTGTACGCTCAAAGAACTATGTGCTTATTTTGGGCAAAAAGGCAGCCTGCAGTGAACTTCTAGAACATTCACCTTACAGCCCCAACTTATCCCCTAGCAATTTCCACCCTTTTGATCCACTAAAAACCCACCTTGGCAGAAGACATTTCGGGAATGACACAGAAGTTGGATGTGAAGTGAAAAGGTGGTTCAGAAAACAGAGCACACATTTCTATGCTGCAGGTTTGGAAGGACTGATAAAACAATGAGACAAGTGCATCAGTGTTGGTGGAAACTATGTTGAAAATTAAGGGGACAGTGTGTGTGTAAAAATAAACAGTTTTCAAGTTATCATCTTTAGTTTTTTTAAACAACCATTTGTGACTTACCTATTGACTTCTTCTAACATCATCATCATTGTCAGTTTTCACTTCTGCTGCTTAGCGTTATGGGAGGAATAGTATGCGATCTGTAGCTTGATTGGCATTAATGACTATTATAATTCTGTATCTTCGTATAAGCTCTTTAATATCGTTATACCATGTTATTCTAGGGCAGCCTCTTGCTTTCTCTTCAGATCTTTTCATATGTATCGCCTGCGTTAGTTGTTCTGGCTGCATTCTTACAAGGTGACCAAAAGATTTGATCTTCTCTTTCTAGGTGAATTTGCTGCATGGTGTTGTTCCTACAGTCTGTCTAATATCATTTCCAACGTTTTTCTCAGATGGTTTTGTTGGCTGCATAATGATTTCTGATGCATGCTATTTTGTTGTTGTTGTTTGGTGAAAGCTGTGTCCTCTGTGATAGATAGTTGTGGTAAGTTTAGCTATGTAATGATTCTTTTGCTTGTACTTGCAGACGTTAAAGAGGCCCTGATTGGGGTGGGGATGATCAACGTAGATGAGAAAACTGGCTTCTGTACGCTAGAGAAAGGTGGGTTCCACACACATTGTACTTATTTTTGTTGTTTTGTGTGGCGTTGTCACACTGTAATAACCAGGATTGTGTGAAACTTTGAGAAAGCGGGACAGGAAATATTCTAATTTCAGGTGAAACTTTTGTTCTCGGGCTACACAGAAAACCTCAAATGAATTTAATTAGAATCTCTTGGGCATAGGGGCATAGAATGCTCATCGGGGCATAGAAGTAAAGGCAGTCGAAAAAGACACAGAAAAGGGAGCAAGAGAGTGAAGAAACAAACAAAGAAATGACATGGGTTCTGCTGAATGGGCGGTAGGAGTGATTTGGTTGGGGGCCTGTGCTCCACTGGCGCATAAAGGGGAGAAAAAAGTTGCATTGTGTACTGAGTGTTATTGCTTTGCACACAGTTGAATATTTGTGTTCAGTTACACCTCTTTTTAGGGCAGGATAAGAAGCAAGTTTTAAAAATAAAAAGTGTCTTAGGTGACCCTGTGAAAGGGCTGTTTGACCCCCAAAAGGGACATGACCCATGGGATGAGACCCACTGCTCTACGGTGAGCAGTCTACATTCAACTATGCCCATCACAAGTGTGCAAAGACCATTTATTCAAGTTTGTATTTTCATAGTTCTGATCAAACACACAACTTACCCATGATACCCCTCACATGGACCCCCCCCCCCCACCCCCCCACCCCCCTTTCCTCCCATCAAACCAACAAAATCATGTCATAGAAGGCGACTAGCTAATGGGTTTACTGAAATCAGATGTGTAAGCCCTCAAAATGCACATATTGCCGATTAGATGTCCTTGTGTGGTTTTTGTGGCCCCATTGGCTTCCCTAACAAGTTTGTTGTGTATCCTTTACAGAACATTGCAGAACCAGCCCCAGGATTTTGTGGCTGTTGATGTTTTTCTAGGCAGATTTTACTTTCAGTAGTTTGCCATTGCCTGCTGAATGGTCAGCTCTTAGTACCATTGTTGACACCAACTCAAGACAAATCTTCCGCAGCTGGGATCGAACCTGGCATTATGAAGCTGGTTCACAATGCCTAAGCCACAGATGCCGACTACCTAACTAGCATGTCGCCAAAAAAAAAACGACTATAGATGTTTCCTTCAGAGTCGGAGTGCATCTGCCTGAGAGACGAGGAACCAACAGTCTGCATACAATTAAACCAGATGTTTGAAACAGATTTGCATGCGAAACATAAGTTTTGGAACAAGACCAGTGCCCAGAAGTGGGGTCAAACAACCAGAACTTTCCAGCACAGTTTACATCCAGTGAACGCTAAGAAGAAAATATGGTGCAAACCACAATGCAGCACGCCAGCCACCATTTTAATGGCAAACACAGAAGATTGAGAAAATGCCACAAGCCCGGAGAAAGTAACTTGTTGATACCTTGAAATGTCCTTCAGGCATACTGTTTTCAAGGCACAATAGGCATAAGTTTTTCTCATCCCATTTACTGTTTTTTGCAGACTTCAACAACATCTCCAAGTTCTTGAATCGTATTTTGGGGATGAAAGTCGCTGTCCAGAATGCATTGTTCAAATATTTCACCGAAAACCTGACCGCTGTCATTCTGGAGGCAAAGAGAACAGGCCGCTGGGACATGGGTATCATGGGTAAGTTGTGTGTTTGATCAGTAACTTATACCATTATCTAGGTCATCAGTGAGTTCCTGCAATGTTTCATCAGTTTGTGTGTTTGATCAGTAACTCATACCATTATCTAGGTCACCAGTGAGTTCCTGCAGTGTGTTTCATCATTTTATGTGTTTGATCAGTAACTTATACCATTATCTAGGTCACCAGTGAGTTCCTGCAATGTTTCATCAGTTTGTGTGTTTGATCAGTAACTTATACCATTATCTAGGTGACCAGTGAGTTCCTGCAGTGTGTTTCATCAGTTTGTGTGTTTGATCAGTAACTTATACCATTATCTAGGTGACCAGTGAGTTCCTGCAATGTTTCATCATTTTGTGTGTTTGATGGGTGTACTTCAGGAAAGCCCCACAAATCACAATGCCAGTTATCAACCAGAGTCGGGTAAGCGATGATGAACCTGCATCAAAAGAGGTAATATCTTCATCATGTGCAGGCTCAATAACATCTTCAAAATCTACCGGCTCTGATTTAATACTTTCACTAGAACTATCAGTATAGGAAACTGCCACAATAGTGTTAGTTGTTGACTTTGTAACTGCCGGTCGAATCTTAGTTAGACTTGACTTTGAAGCGACATCCCGTTGTTTTACTGTCAGTAATGTTTTTGATGGCACTTCATTCCATTTATCAGAACTAGAGTCATCACACTGTTCAGTAATATCTTCACATGCACTTTCCGAGACAAAAATCATATGCACCAACAGGAAAATTATAAATGTGACCACCACGATCACTTCGAGAATTTGAATAAAGTTCACTATAAGCACTTCTTTAAACATTTACTATAAACACTGTTTCTCTTAAATTATTTTAGAGAAATGAATGAGCTAAAGGCTTTCAAATTCATTGCAAAAATCGCGATTATAACATGATGGTTAGCGGCTAAAGTTAAGATCGCAAGGGGTGCAATCGTGGTAGCTAACCGTAAATGTCAGCGGTTCGCATAACATGCTATCATGATAGTCAGTGGGTTAATGAGAGTAAATCCAGTGATGCCTGCAGCGAGAGCATACAACATGAAAGTAGAAACACCTAGAGTTAGGAAATGCTGAAGAAAAAAATGAATTGAAGAAGTCACCATCCACAACATGACAGTATTCTGGGCAACCGAGCCTGCTTGTGCTTGGAAACTGATAATCTGTTAACCTGCGATGACCGCCGGCACAAAGCATAAAATGGACAAAAGAAAGAATCAGGGACCCTTGTTCTGAAAGACATTATTGATGTTCATTGCAGATCTTGGCTCAGGGGAAGAGAAAGTGCGGAAACTTGAGAGCAGAGTGTTTGTGGGCAACTCAGCGACCAACACTGCCAGAACAGAACTCAGTAAGTTTGCTGTGGAGAAAGGCATGCATTGGCACAAAGCCTTGGAGCTCTGGAGACGGTGCAACACCCCAGATGAGGGCTTTTATATGTCACTGCAGGTATGTAGAATGTCCAGTTGATGTGGTTCTTCTTCTCCTTCTACTTCTATATCCCCCAGTATAAGCATAGATCATGTACTGTCAGCCAACTCATACCAAGGCGTCCTCATTTGCTTTCACATGCCCCGCATCCCACGTCCACCCCATCTTTTAAACTTGACTCCTCTAGCTCCCTTCTTCGTGTAGAGCAATGGTTTTCAACCTTTCCGTGACCGTTTAGTACAGTTCCTCATGTTGTGGTGACACCCCCCTCCCCCCAACCAAACAGTTATTTTCATTGTTACTTCATAACTTCAGTGAATATGTGTTTTCTGATGGTCTTTGGCAACTCTTGTGAAAGAGTGGTTTGACCCACAAAAGGGTCCGGACGCACGGGTTGTGAACTGCTACTGTAGTATCATAATAACATTGAGCCGGGAGTACAGAGAGTGGCCAGCTGATGCCACAGAGGTGGAAATTTAGCAGTTAAGGATAATGCTGACTTGGGTAGTGTGCTTATTTATACCGATGGTTCAGTGTGAAGAGGCGAAAGGAGTGCCTGGGGTTCTTAGCAAAAGTTGCTGTGGCCAGGTGAACCTAGCATATAATACGACATTTAGCATGCGCACACACACACACACCCACTCACCGACTGATTGTAAGTGACTGAGAAAGTCTGCTGAAGAAGATGAGCACAGGCATGCTTCATGCAGAATGGCATGCTTTACTTTAGAGGTCATGTGCTAGGAGCATTGTCTGGATCTTTTTTTCTGGGGTATGCCGCTATATTGAGAAGTGAACAGGCTGATAGACTGCCTGGCTCTGCACAGTTTTTTTGAAATATTGATTCGTAATCAGGCAGACGTGGTTGAGGCCTTATGGGAGAGTGTGTATGGTTCGGAACAGCAAATTGATGATCACAGTCTGTTAAGAGTGATGCAGCAAGGAATGACAGAGGGATCTGGCTGATCCTCCGCACTACAAGGAAACGCAAGATCGTCACATAATCAGACTGCTACTGGACGGAGCGCTTATGGGAATGCCTTGAGTGCTGTTATGTTGGTTCTTAAACCAACACAACTCAACTTCCGCAGCTCCTTTTTCCATGTGTTTGTTGGTTTGCTCTTGCTTCTGTGCCCCTGTAGGTTCCAGTGTAAACACATTCTAGTTACATTGTTCTCAGGTTTTCTCGCCATATGTTCTATCTAATGGCAGGGTATTTTATTCACCTCTTGAATGACAGCCCATAGAGAAACAGCCGATCAAGTTGTTTGGCTGTCTTGTTAGAATGCAGCAACATCAAATACCATCACACTCACATCTCAGATCAGCTGCAAGAGGATGGCCACAGGATATGGATCGACAAAATTAAAGACCATAGCAAGATAGTGCTCACTGAATCACAAATTATTCTCTTCTTGACGCTTAGTAGCAGAAGAATTTGTTGATGATGATTGACTGGAATTGATTTAGTCCCATTATCATACATGAACAAAAAAGGCAGTTAACTAATCAAATATAAAATTCATTAACTGCTGCCTGCGTGGAAAAGAGGAAATTCAATGGTTCAATAGAATCACTAATTTTGAGCTTTTGGAGAAAACTAAACAAGTTTCACTGGACCAAGAGGTGAAGAAGAGATGCTGCATTGCATGGGACATACACTGAGAAGTGATGTTTAAAAAAAATGTAAAAAAAAACTACTCGAAGGGACTTAACTCCAATCTTTTTGTGATTGCCTCCAACTTTTAGAGATTGCTTCATTAATTAACAGAAATGTACCTAAACCTGGCCACAAACAGGACTTAAATTAATAATTTGAGGGCCCTAAGGGGGAAATGAAAAACGAAGCCCTCTGTGATAAAGGGTTTTTAAGAGTTAACCCCGGTTTTTTAAAAAAAAAAAAAAAAATGTACACACAAAGTACAAAGGGTACATTTTGCTTTTTTGTGGCCAGGGGGAAAGTGGATGATGAGGGTGTCAGCATTTTTGCCCAACCTTTTTCCTTTTTTTGCATTACCTTTGGTTTCCCATTTTAGGCTGGGTTACCTGTGAGTCAAGGTCATTGAAAAACCAGTCTGCCTCTGTGAGGATTTGAACTCAAAACCCTAATGTTTTTGTGTGTGTATATATAACATTTTCATTTATAATGGAAATGGCCGAAACATTAGCAGAATTTGGTCTTTTTCTGATGATCTTCTCTGCGTGTGCTGGCTGTAAACTGCGGCATAAAGTTCTGGATGTAGTTCCCAAATTTGAGGGCTTTAAAACTTGTGTGCGCCTCCCTTTTTTACTGTCCTAGCTAATTTTTTTCAGACGGGTTTGGTTTTCCCCCCACCTCAGCAGGGTCTCTCTGACTTTTAAGGGTACAAACCCTAGTCTCTTTTTTCAACCCTCTAGTTAAAGGGGCGTGAGAAAAATGCTTTCCCCTTTCCCCCCCACACAAAAACACATGCGCACGCACACACCCGTGGATAAAGATCCGATGCTCGGTTTTGCTAAATAGTTTTCCCAATACTTAAAAAAATTGTTTAAACTTGTCTCTCTTCTGCTCCACCAGGACAGGGTCTGCAAGGGGTAGTCATCCTGGTCGGGGGGGCGGGCCAAAAAGAAGAAGGGAAAAAATGTTAAAAATATACCGGCCCAATGCGGGGTTTCAGGCCCGCTGCAGACGATGGAGGGGATCAGGGGAAAACACAAGAAATGTCTGCCGGATGTTGCCGAAACCCCCTGTGGGGAGGACCCCCACGTCAAGTGGAAACCCCTGAAAAAAAAATTTGTGAGTTAATAGACTTTTCTAGAATGGGCCTATGCCTGGGTTTGGGCCCTTTTTATTTTTTGATTTTTGGTTTTATAGACTTTTTAGAGATGGTCCCACTAAAAGTAAAAATCTTATAAACCGAACCGTAAACAGTATATTTTAAATATTTTAATGGGGTTAAAACGATAAAAAAAGAAAACTTTTATACACGGCCCGTAGGAAAAACCAAAAAATTTTCTAGTGGTAGAGGTTTTGGGGCTTCATCCCCGATGTTTTGGGGCTCCGAAACCCGAGGGCCCAATTTTTAAAAACACCTAAAAGTTCATTTCTTTCTGCCCGAGGCCAAACCCCAACCAAACCCCAGAGTTTGATGTTTTCTGCCCCGAGGCAAACCTCAACACCCCTAGAGTTCAGTCCCCTTTTTGCCCAAGGCCAGTCCTTTAACACCCCCTTGGGGTTTTCCCCCCCCCCTTGCTGCCCAGAGGGCAGTCCTTAAAACCCCCACCTAGAGTTTTATTGCCCGCTGCCCAGAGGGCGTCCAAACCCCCCTAAGTTCTTGCTGACCCAAGGTCGCCCTTAAAAACACCTGAGTTCGTTTCTTTCGCCCAGAAACCAGTCCTTTACACCCAAGTTCAGGCTGCTGCCCGGGGACCAGTCTTTTAAAACCCCTGGAAGTTCGTGTGCTGCCTAGAAAAACATGGATGTTAATCGTGCCAAAATGGGACACACACACACTCACTTTATGCTTCCCTTTTTTTTCGCCTAAATCACATAAATCACATGTAAACAATGTA